CCCAAGGCATACCTCACGCGATTTCAGTCGCCACGCGATCCGGCAGTTTGCCAGATCTCTTCAAATTTAATACTGGTAGATCCCACATGCACAGTTTGTATAACTTCCGTAAATTAATGAAATGTCGTATCTTCTATACATTCGAAAGCCCCTTACGATAAGTGAACAATTGGAGTATTGTCAGATTGCGCCGCAACTGAAATCGCTTGAGGTATGCCTTGGGCATTGGGAGATCGAAGGAGTATCAAGTTTGTTCCAACTTGTACCCATAAGCTAAGTCTAGAAGATTCTAATAGTCATTAGATCATGTGAAAACATAGCGAGAGTACAAGACATCGCATCCCTTACTCACCCCTCTCTTCCACGCGAAAAAAAAAGCGAGAGTATAAGACATCGCATCTCTTACTCACCCTTCTCTTCCACGCGAGAAAAAAATCGCTTGCAGAACATTTTTTGAACGATTATTTCTAGACATCCGTCAAGAGCGTGCCGCTAGTCAGTCCAGTAAAACAAGTGACACAAGTGAGCATACTGATCAAAGACATCCTCCATCCACGGGATCGGATCCAAGCGATAACCACGAGCAGAACATTCATCATACCGCTGATGCCACCAACGTGTAAGACACACTTATTCTCTTCTTGTAGTAATTTGCAGTGGGAAAAGTTTCTCCTTCATTGCAACCAGGATTTTTACAGCCGACCCGCAAGCGTGGATTCGGCATCACAAACGGTAGAGACCGGTACCCGTTGCGGTCCAGTTGATGTGAATTTCAATCTGAAAAATGGCATCACAGCTTCTGATCTGGTTATTTTGGAAGCGTATGGGATACCTTATCAGGTAAGTTCTCCTTGTCATTGCCACACCAGTCCGCAAACCTCTCCCGAATCGAGATCGCGTATTGTTTAGGGCGAGCTACAGTACTCGTCCTCTGGCGGGTCCCGAAGCGATTCCGTGCAACATTCGAATGAAATGCTTCCAGAGAGTATGCTACACAGTTATCACCACGATCAGGCAAGCATAGCGAAACCTAATGAATGAATGAATGATGAATGAATGAATGAATAAATAAATAACTAAACAGTAGATAAATAATGTAGTAAATAATAAATGGGTGAATGAATGAATGCATGCATGGGTGAATGAATGAACGAACAATGAGTTTCTTGTAGGGAAATGAATTAATTATCAAATCTCTAGGGCTGTGCTCATTCCGAAGATGCCGACTCAACGTTGCGCTCATGTTTACCACAGCAATCATCGATATCGCTTCATGACCTGCGTACAGCTGGGGTGAATGGAATAAAACCACCTCCTGGCTATATCGATGAAAGGAATGATAATGAGTCGTAAGTTAATTGGCAGTTTTTTCTAAAGGTGGTGAAAAGTGGAGAATGTGTATGAGGAACTTGGTAGTGGTTAAGTAAGAAAAGAAGTGAATTATGTTCGAAGTCCTATTATCTTGAAGCCTGGGCATGCTGTAGACAATTTCAGTATTCTTTCTTTGCCGTACCGTTTGTTATGGTAGTCACTCACTAGACTGACTCCTTTCAGGCCCCTGATGACGGCGTGTAGCCGAAACGTAAAGCAATAAAGCGACTACCATAACAAACCTGTACGGCAAAGACACAATACTGAAATTTGCGAAAGTCTCATTCGTTCAACTCTGCGTTGAGAGAGTTCTGAGTCATTCTTGAGAAAGCATTCTCTATAAATATTCTCTTTGCTCCTAGTCCTCACCCTTTGAGCAGCGAATTTATTTTCGATCATCTAGAAATCTGATAACCGCTCCAGCGTTGAGATGGTGTGCTGCGGACCAACAGATACAGAGGCTAGGTGCTTCTGGACAAGCTAGAAGCGAGCCGAAAATCGATTCTGATGTGAGTTTGTGGTTTTTATTTGGAGAGTTTTTTGGGTTAAATAAGCTCCATGTACTTATAAAGCCAGTTTATGACCATCTGGTTTCAAACGGAATATTTTCACAATTCGATGATTCATAAATATTTTTTGATTTTGCAGCTATGGGGCCATCCATCCGTGGCGGTAGCGTTGCTTGATTCACAAATCGCTGCGAATGGCGGCCGTCTTTTTACAAAGAAGACCACAAACGGAGTGATTAACAGGGTTCATTCGATGCCCGCTCATTATCACGTCATAAACGGATATAGAACCGTAAGTGTTTTTTACTGCATGCTGAATAATTGGTTCTGTAGCGCGGTATGATTTGCAGAGCCCTAACGAAGAAGTTTCAAATGGTACAGTGCTGCCCAGCGTCACACAGCCAGCTTCTCGAGGCAAAACTCGCGATCCGCCTCCGTACGAGAGAGCTCTTGACATTCAACGAAACGCTAACGCTCAACTCAATCATTTGCATTTACAGGTAAAGGATCGGCGTTTATTTTAATTCGCAGTGATTCATATTTGGCATTTCAGCCTAGCGTGGTTCAGTCCATCGGTATGGGACCGATGGCTGCAGAAGCTGCCGGCGGTCAACCAGCGTTCCCTCCCGCTTCGGCTACCCATGATTACTTCATAGATGAGGTAGAACAGAAGTTCTCTGATTTCGAGCTTTTCTACGATCGCATACTCAGTTTGTACTTTTGAAGGAAGGGTTGAGCACGGAACGACTTCGTGACTTCCCAATGATGCATCGACTTCTACGTGAATCGAATAGTCTTCTCAGTCATCAGCGAAGACCGTCGTCATGCATTGACCTCACTTCTGAATACGTGAACCATATGGCACCAGCTATGACAGCAGGTTCGTGAAATTGTCACAAAGGGTCATTGTGTTTCGAGTCCATACACTTAGAAGGCTAAGCATTAACATTTAGGTAATTTCCATGTGCCACTCCATCGAGGAGACTATTTCCCCGATTCAGCCGTTCACAATTATCCATCACCATACGTTAGGACAACGAACATAGCGCCAATAGCGTGAGTATAATCTTTCACGGAACAATTTACTTTATTCATTTATATGAGATCGATTCCAGTTATCCATGGCGACCACCGGCACCAGCCGCAGTTATGGATCTGCCACCACCACCACCGTATCCAGCTGGACGAAAAGCACCAATGGTGATGTGAGGGCGGAGCCAATAGTGCGTCTATGTGAACGAGTTTGTTGGACTTTGTGGTGATGTCGCCCACATCGTCCGATTTGACGCGACACTAGCGAATTAGCGATTAGCGAGTAGTACAATCTTTTACTCAGCGCGCGACGCGTCAGCCTGCCAAATCTGATTTTTCTACCTCCTTCTACTCTCATTTTTGTTTCTTTTTTGCTCTTCTTCGCTGCTGTACCATAGCGCGCGCCAGACGCTCGCGGTTTTCCTTATTCTAGACTTTTATTGTTGACAAAAGAGATGAAACGAAGAGACCGAGATCATACTTTACGATGTACTGCATTCTACTTAATTTTGTTAATGCCTCTCTCTTCCAAACACGTGTTCTATGTTTTGCTCCATCTTTCGCTTATTTCAATCTTCTCTGTTTTTCTGCATTTTCTTCTTCCTCTACATTGCGACTGTTTGTCGGTGCTCGATTCACTTGCCATGCATCTACTTATACAGCATACAAAGCGCGCTTGCTCCAACGAGGAAAAGCTCAATTACGAATTTTTATTATTCATATGTTACATGTATAGATGTGAATTGGTCATACATTTTGATAAAAACATTCTTTTTTATCATGCATTAGTTAAAACGACTATGAAAGCAACTTATAGAAGCAATAATAAAACTGAGACCTATATGTTAGTGGCTGCGGCACACGAGAAGGCATTGGTTATCTATACTTTGTTTTTATTCAATACACGTGAATTTGCGTGTGCGCCAAAACCTGTGAGTACAAAAATTGCTAGTTCCAAAGAATAGCTGTCGTCTTCAGCCGTAGCAAGCAGATCTATCTTAGGTGTAAAAAAGAGAAAAAATTCTATTTAGTTGAGCTCAGGCAATGGCATTGGGGAATGTCACTTGTTTGAAATGCCTGCGATTGGTTTCTGTCAGACATCCACCATCTGACAACACGAAATCTTGGATACACCTGCCTTGTTCTGAGAAAGCCATGCAATTTGAAGCCAACTACCTACAGTCCCATGGAGCAATACTACTGTTAATCGTTATAACCAATGGCTACACGAAAGAAGATTGTTGCAAAAGCAAAGACGGAAATTAACG